CTTGAAGTCCACAGTGTAACTACTACATCAGGGCTGACCCAGAATTATGGTTAACCTTTACATCTGAGGGAATGGGTGTATAGGGGCATAGGCCCTGGTTGCAGCCCTCCCTCTCTTCACTGAAGAAAAGGTCAGCAAGCCCTATAGGGGTTCAGACACTCTGAGGAACTCCCAGAGATCACCGTACCCACTGCCTGGTTCACCTACTCAGCAAGGTGAGCCTTAAAGCAAGCTGGATAGGAAAAGGGCTTTCTTGCTGGTGGCTTTGCAGATATACAAAATGCTGCTGCCATGGCTATCACCTGCTGTTAACCACCTAGGCATGATGGAGGGCCCTGGGGACAAAAGATAATGAGGACGTTTTTGTTTTGTTTTGTCTGTTTTGTTTTTCTCGATGGCAGAGAGCTGACAATAGTTTATGACCCAGGATGGCTATATACACTACACATTTATTTATATCCCAGAAAAAAACAAAAAAAAAACTTTAAATAACTCTGTGCCCTAGGTCATGTTTGGGGTTTTAAAACTCCCAGTGTACCACGAGATCTAGAATGGGGAATGTAGGGCCTAGTAAGAGGAAGTAAAAAAACAACCACAGGGACCGGGCCCTGAAGTAGCCTCTTCTAACAGAGCATTTCAGATGGCCTAAGATTTGAAATTGTTCATTGCCCATTTAAGCAGCTTCATTTGGCTCTGGCTGTCTCTATGAAATGAATCAGTGATCACCAGTAGAAACTCAATAATCAATTAATCGATCTCTATCGGGTTTCTTTGTATCCCAGTTAACTGATACTCCTCAGAATAATCTATAGTACGTTAGTGAAGAAAAGCTTCTAATTAAACAGTGAGCTAGAGCCAATTAATACATCAAAATAATTGTCCAGAACCAAAACCTTTTCTTAATTACAAGAAACAATAGGTTTATTATCTCTAAGACTCTCTCAGTTTGCTAATTGATTACCAGTTAAAATGGAGACATTGCCTTTTTTAGGTGTACAGATTTCATTATGTTTATCACATCTTATAGGTCTATATAAGTGAGTATATACCGTGTCTGTCTTTCTCCTTCTGAGATATTTCCCTCAGGATGATCTTTTTTAGATCCCACCATTTGCCTGCAAATTTCATGATTTCCTCCTTTTTGATTGCTGAGTAGTATTCCATTGTGTAAAAATACCACAATTTCTGTACCCATTCCTCCATTGATGGACATCTGGGTTGTTTCCATGTTCTGGCTATTACATATAAAGCTGCTATAAACATGGTTGAGCAAATATCCCTTTTGTGTACTTGAGCAAACTTTGGGTATATACCTAGCAGTGGTATAGCTGGGTCTTGAGGAAGCACTATTCCTAATTGTCTTAGAAAGTGCCAGATAGATTTCCAGAGTGGTTGTACCAGTTTACATTCCCACCAGCAGTGGAGGAGGGTTCCCCTTTCTCCACAACCTCTCCAGCATGTGTTGTCCCAAGGACCATGTGTGGATATAACCTAGAGCCTCTGCTCAGATGTAGCCTGTGGTAGCTCTCAGTAACCAATTGGTTTCCCATAGTGAGGGGAACAAGGACTATTTCTAACAGGAACTCAATGACTGGCTCTTTGGCCTCCCCACCTCCCAAGGGAGGAGCAGTCCTGTTAGGCCACAGAGGAGAGCTTTGCATCCAGTCCTGAAGATACCTGATAAAACAGGATCAGATGAATGGGAAGGAGGTCCCCCCTATCAGTGGACTTGGAAAGGGGCACGGTGGAGATGAGGGAGGGAGGGAGGAACTGGGAGGGAATGAGGGATCGGGACATGGCTGGGATACAGAGTTAATAAAATGTAACTGATAAGAAAAAAATAAAATTAAAAAAAAAATGGAGACATTGCCAATGCACAAAATAGAATATGTTCGGTGGCTTTTAACCACCGAGGCAAAAGGTATAAGAACTTCACAATGCCATGCAATGGAAGGTCAGCCTTAAGGAATGAAGTAACAGTAAGTGGGAAGGCAGGCATGAGGCCAGGTGACAGCGTGCTTGTCTAGTGTGTACAAAGCCTGCGTTCACTCATAAGTGCCACGAAAAAAGTTTAACGTTTCTGATTATTATAATGCAAGATAATAACAGAGATTTCTAACTTCTCAACCATTTCCCAGATTGTAAGCTATATATATGTGTATATATATACATATGTATATATATACACACGTATATATGTAAAGATATATACATATATATGTAAAGATGTCTAAGAATGAACTTTTATTTCTTTTACTCTAAGGTTGACTTGATTTTCCTCACTACATCTTCCTGACCCCTTCATCTGGCCCACATTTCCCAGTTTTTCCCAGTTCACAGCTGTTATTGGGAACAGTGAGGATCCAGGCATTCTTTGCTCCTCATGAACTCCAACTGCTTTATTCCTGAAAATAATAGTTTAAAAACTACTAGTTCACCACTCCACACTTATGCCCTTCCACCTTATTTATTCAGTCGTTCTATTATTATGTATTAGCTCTCTGTTTTGCATGATGTTCAGTCTACCACCAGCGATCTAGTATTGAAAGAGCAGAGAGCCATGACTGGAGCCTGACATTAATTACACAAGGAAATGTTGAGTTGCAGCCAAAATTGCTACCACTGTGCTTGTGATGAACGGGCAAAAGCTATCCTAAGAATCTACAATCGGAGCACTGGGCCTGATAGGAGCAAGCTTCATGAGAGACTGGCACTGAGCTCATGAATAAAGGATGGGTTGAAGCTGACTAGGTGAGGGAAGGTGGAAGGAGCACCAGAAAGGCGCTCGTTAATGGGAAGGTGCCCGGAACGCTCAGACATCCCAAAACAGGCCTGAACACTAAGACGCAAAGAACACAGACCTGAAGAGGTTGGGTAGAAGCCACATGATATAAAACTTAGCAGGGCCATGTTAAAAATGTTTATCCTAAAAGCAAAGAGATGCATTAAGTGTTCTAAATGGAAAGGAAGAGGTATCGAATCATAGATAGAAAGAAAGAAAGAAAGAAAGAAAGAAAGAAAGAAAGAAAGAAAGAAAGAAAGGAAGGAAGGAAGGAAGGAAGGAAGGAAGGAAGGAAGGAAGGAAG